ATATATATATGTATATAAATGTACATCGTCAACAAAATTGCTATACAATTACGTTTGTAGGATTGTACACCTACTACAGTTTAACCTGTCGGCTTCTCTTAGACTCAACGAAATATCTTCTCTGCTATTGCTGGTATTGGGAGTTAACTTCACTTTCTGGTTCGAGGCTGCACATTTGATTAAGCCCACTGAACTGGAGTGCGTGCATGGTCCGCAGTTTACTTTATTATTTCTCTCATGTGGTTTAATCACAGGAAGCGCACGAGTTGGGTGTTCGTTATGATGAATTGAAGGTACACTTAGAGGATGCAGCGAGGGCAGTTGAAGTAACGGAGCAGATGACTGCGATCTTAGGGCGCAACTCTGAAATAGTGGCGGAATTGCAGGAGGTGAGCGCTTGGCTTTGTTGGGCTGTGGGTGCTTGGCTTTGTTGGGTTGTGAGTGCTTGGGTTTGTTGGGCTGTAAGCGCTTGGGTTTGATGGGTTGTGAGCGCTTGGGTTTGTTGGGTTTCGCATAAGATGTCCCAGGGTACTCACACACTCCATGTGGCTGTCGCGTTGAGCAGTGGTTCCAATTGTGTGTGTAATAGTTGGCTTGCTGCTGATCGTTTGATTGGGAAGTAGTGCTGTGTGATGTTGCCTTGGATTCCAAGGAATTCGCCATTGTATCGATACAAAATGACTCGTATGAGTTTAGCCAAAGTCCTAAACCTTAAAAACCTTATACTCCACAAACCCACAAACTAAGCCCTAGAACCCAAAACCGTAAAACCCTGCACTATTGTTTACCTGCGTCTATTAACGCAAACGAGAGAGGCGTGTACTGGCCCGTGTAGCTCTTTGTTGTGTGATTACATGCGTTGCCGCCAAATCCTAACGTGCGGAATGTTGTACATATATTCACCTCGGCGTGCCCAAGAAATGGAGCACCTGTGCACACACAGTATCTGTCCAGGCTTTATTTGTGCGGGAAATCGTACAACGCGCAGTCTGAATGGGTGATGCAGACAGAACAGACAGCAGCCATGCGTATATCTGATCATGTTTAAGCTGTTTGTTCCCGTTTTTGGTTTTAGGGTTTTAGGGTTTACAAACCTAGCACACACAGTACGCTACTATGTATAACGATGTCGCAGTTTTGTATCTACTGCTTCTGACACATGTGGCACCAAAATGCAGTGTCTCACTCTCTATGGAGTTATCATGTAACACTAACGTTGATCAACTGCAGGTGTACAAGAAAGCTGGACTCGCCCCAAACGCAGACACGGAACCCGCCGAAGCCACAGCTACAACTGCACCCACTGCAACAACTGCAACAGCTGCAACAGCCACCAAACGCCTCTCTTCGGGCTCAGCGGCAAATTCAAAGTAAGAGGACTTCAAAACAGCGTAACAGTGTCATGTGACAAGGTGTTGGTGCACATGTCCATGTTTCCCATGGGGCGTATGGCTGTTGTGTTGTATGATGGTATTGTGTGTTACGATGTTATTGTGTGGTATGGTGTTGTGCTTCTGGGTGCACATGACCATGTTTTCATGAAGCGTATGGCTGTTGTGTGGTATGATGGTATTGTGTGATATGATGTTATTGTGTGGTATGATGGTATTGTTTGATATGATATTATTGTGTGGTATGGTGTTGTGCTTGTGGGTGCACATGACCATGTTTTCATGGAGCGTATGACTGTTATGTTGTGTGATGGTATTGGGTGATATGATGTTATTGTGTGGTATGGTGTTCTGCCTCTGGGTGCACATGACCATGTTTTTCATGGAGTGTATGGCTGTTGTGGTCTTTGTGTTGGTCTGTAAAGAGATAGCGCTGTATTTGTTGGGGGACATGTTAAGACATACCACATTACGTCTATTGGCGACAACACCACGTGCTACGCTACCTACAATCCCCAGGCAGTTGAGCACACATATATTCCCTGCAATTGGGTCATCTCGTTCAGATGGCAGTTTACCTATTATCTACTTGGCATTACGTATTATCTACTTGGCAATTTAAGTATTATCTACTTGCCAATGTACGTATTATCGACTTGCCAATTTACGTAAAAATTTGTGCCGTATCATGTGTATTGTATAAAGCTCTAGTGAACGTCGAGTTGCAGTTAGCGTGGTAAGGGAGACCACGCGGATATAGCGCAACAGCAAAACGTATCAGATTTGATAGCCTTCCATGTGCCTCAACTAATTTATAAATGTATTGACTGAGAATTGCAGAATGCATCGTCCCTTCGCAACACCTTTGCGTTGGCTTACGAGAGTAGACCAGAGAGTGTGTTGTATGGACGTTTACGTATTAAGACGTATTTGATGTGACTATGCTGCAGAGAGGCACTGATGAATCACTTAACTATCTCTAAGCTCGTTCATCTGCAGGCAGAGTGCAATGTAATGACTCACTGCCAGGAAGCCAAAGCTACGCTCGCTGTGAAGACCACTGAAGTGATCGAATACTTTTCAGCCCTTCTAATGAACCATGCAAACCCTATGACTCTTAAACCCTGGAACCCTGAAACCTTACCATCTCATGCAGACCAGCTAAAAAAGCCAAGAAGGGTGGCGAATCCGATGCGGAAGACATCGATGATGTTACTAAGATAGCTGGTGTGGATATGGAGGTATGTGCCCATCAGGAGTATGAATGGCTCCAATGGCTCCAATGTGCTACCTGCGTGTCCCTAGCAACGATATGTGACAGTCAGGTGTCCTTAGCAACGATATGTGACAGTCAGGTGTCCCTAGCAACGATATGTGACAGTCAGGTGCCCCTAGCAACGATATGTGACAGTCAGTGAAAAGTGTTGCTATAAACTGTACCACGGCCGAATGAAGTCGCCATGTCGTCCTGTGGCGTATTCTTGAGCGTCATTCGCATTGTGATCACCTCGCAGAGCATAGAGCATAAAGTGTGTTAAAAGGGTGTTAAAGGGTGTTAAAGTGTGTTGAAGGGTGTTAAAGTGTGTTAAGGGTGTTAAAGTGTGTTAAGGGTGTTAAAGTGTGTTAAGGGTGTTTATAAGGGGTGTTGAGTGTGTTAAAGGGTGTTAAAAGTGTGTTAAAAGGTGTTAAAAGGTGTTAAAGGGTGTTAAATGTGTGTTAAAGGGTGTTAAAGGGCGTTAAAGTGTGCTAAATGGTGTTAAATTGTGTTTAAGTCTGTCAAAGGGTGTTAAAGGGTGTTAAAGGGCGTTGAAGTGTGCTAAATGGTGTTAAATGGTGTTAAAGTGTGTGAAAGGGGTTTAAAGTGTGTTAAAGGGTGTTAAAGTGTGTTAAAGTGTGTTAAATTGTGTTAAAGTGTGTTAAAAGATGTTAAAGTGTGTTAAAAGGTGTTAAAGGGTGTTAAAGTGTATGTACATGTATAGTTTGTTTACCGCAAACCCCATGCACTGCCGCCCGCACAGGCTCACACTCAACAAATGAGGTACGCCCTCAGTGTGTAGCTGAGCGCAACTGCTCGTGGGGCACTGGTCGTGTCTGTGTCGGAACACATGTGGCCATAACCTACTGAGACATCATCGCTTCATTTAATTCTGGAATGTGATTGGCATTAACCCTAAATCAAATTTTGGAATGTGGTTGGCATTAACCCTAGATCCTAAAACTATCTCTGCAGGAGGAAGAGAATGCCATCCTAGATGACCTGCAAGGCGACGATGAGGAGACTGAAGATCAAGAAGAGCAGCAGTTCTGCAACTTCATGGAACTCAAATACCGCATAGCCACTGTGGCCCGTAAGAATGGTCTGCGCAATGTGGCTGTGGAGGCGTGCCAGTACTTAGCCTTCTCTATGCAGCAACAGCTGCGGGATATGCTGGAGAATGTCGTGCGCAACAGGTATGCAATGCATATATATATATATATATATATACATATATATGTGCGTGCGTGAGTGAGTGAGTGTGTGTATGGCGGTATAATGTNAGGGGAAGCCACAGCGCACGGCGTATACGGCACATCGATACATCATTGGATTAGTCAGATCCCGAGGGCTCTGCGGGAGACTGCATGACTGACCTTAACCCTAGAACCCTAAATCGTCATATGATACCCCCATGAGTTCATCCTGATAATCATGATCCTTATGATTCGTTTCAATGGTCTACGTTTTCTTCCAACAGTCACCATCGAGCGGGTGTGTATCGCCCACATCTGAAGAGCACACATGACACGTACGACCCAAATCCGCAACTGCGAATGCAACAAAGGTGTGTAGCGTATCTGTCAGCTGAGCGTAAGACGTAGTGATCCGCGTTGCGTCTCCTCTGTGCACCCTGTCGCTACAAACGAGTGCACTCGTCCCGTACCCTCGGTTTGGGTTGGTTTGGGATGGTTTGGTTTGGTTTGGTTTGGTTTGTATTGGTTTGGGTTGGTGTGGGTTGGTTCGGTTTGGTTTGTATGTACCGACAGTGCGCTTGTTCACTGCGGCAGTTGTGCTCAGTCTGTGACCCTTGTCATCAATGGCACTACCCGTGACATTAGGAGTACTTGCACTTACTGGGGATTTGCTGTCACTGGCAGTGCTTGTGGTGTTAGTTTGTCCAGTCATCCGTATACTGCCATTTCGCCGCAGTCTGTTGCTCTCTCCCGTTCTCCTTGGCTACTGCCTGTTCCTTAGATACTGTTCTTGTGTACTGTCTGTAGGGGTTCCCTCATATTCATGTGTACGATGCGCTGAACGTTACACGATCGTAATACATAGGGTTTTAGAACCCTGAAACAATAGCCGTGTTCGTGTAGCATTGGACGTTCTATGTCCGGGCTGTCTGAGTCACCACAGCCCACACCCTTGCACCTGTAGTGCACCCACCGGTGGTTCATTGTGTGGTTCATTGTGTGGTTCATAGTGTGGTGTGATGTGTTTGTCAGTAGCTGTGGAGTTGCTTGTGCACATACTATTCTGTTGGTGTGTTGGGTCGAGTGACATGCGGTGAGTGTCGCTGACTGCTGTCCCTTCCATTTCTCTCAGACTGTTCGCAGGTCGAGTGCTCCCGAGGACCAGTGGCGACGCAGCCTCCGAACGGACAGGTGACAAAGGCAGCCCACAGCAACACAGCCGAGCCAGTGCAAACGGTATGTGGCCATGTGCTGCACACTGTATGTCACACGTTTGTTGACGCTTGTTGCTTCAGGATTCATTGAAAGCGCTAGACTCTAACAACCTAAAAACCCCAGCATGCGTGTACTCCAACATACAGTATTGTCACATTGATAGTGGTTTAGCACGGCACACCTTCTACTTGAGCGCATTGAGCCTGCTACGGAATGGCTGTGTGCCTTCGTTGTCGTACTTTCACGTAGACGCCAAACTTACCTACACTCCCCTCCCCCAACACAGCACACGCAGGCGATAGTAACACACCACTCAGCACAGCACACGCAGGCGATAGTAACACACCACTCAGCACAGCAAACAATAGCACCAGCGCAGCCGACGACGAATCCACAGGCAAGGACAATACCTCTGCGCATACAAATACAAACGCGAACGCAAATGCAAATGCAAATGCAAATACGAATACGAATACGAATTTAAACACAAACACAAAGGCACAAACTGTCACCAACACACACGACGATACAAGTGCCACGGGAGACCCTCAGCACAATGCAACCACTGCCACTGCAAGTGCCAATGACAACCCTGTCGTCCCTACGCGCACGATCAAACTGTGTGATCTGTTGGAGTACATGGAAAGCAATGCGGCACTGCGCAGCTCTAAGCTGTTGTACGCGTCGTATCTGAAACGCCTGGACGAAAGTTCGGAACATATTACAGCCGAACTAACGGCGACTGCTCAATCGGAGAAGTTATGAGAGCCTGTGACTGGCGTACACGTGTATAGCCACAACTGTGGGTTAAACCCTACACCCTAAACCCTGTCCTCAAAAACCCTTAACCCTAGTCTATCAGTGCGCTGTGGAGCTGCTGGATTATGGCGATGACTGAAGTCTCTCTCATTGAGTGGCACATATCATATCAGTGGGAATTCGCATCGCATGGGCGAAGACGCAACACCGACACATTGCTGTATGCAACCCACTCCTACGCTGCAATTAGATGGGCTATGCGGGGGTGTGTATGTCCCATACTATAGAGTGCCGTGTGGCATATGGTGACGGCAGTGCCAATCCCTCTGAGTGTGTCATGACAGTGTCGCCACAGTAAATGTGAAGGGACCTTGATAACATAGAAGGTACATTTTTCACCTCGCATCGTGCCACCGGCCAATTGCCCACAATTTCACTCACCCGAACATCACAAGGTCGGAAACCCTAAACGGTCGGACATTAGCCGTTCACCAGGAAATTACAATCTTGCAAGTTTTAACAGTTGTGCGGAAGGTTCTGTACTGAGACTACGGTGTCGCGCGAATGCAATGTATGCGCAGCCAAGCCACGTCATAGTGACTGTCGCACTCGGCCCATGAAGTCAGTACCAGCGCACTCACGTCACCATGTGCCAACACACACAACACAGCCGGGAACGCAGTCCTAGCTCGGTGAAATATGACGGGAGGAGAAACAAAGATGAGAATGGGTTTTCCCGGGGGTTAAACCCCTGCAAATAGGTAGAGGATGATAATGTTTTTTCCCGGGGGTGAAACCGCTTCAAATAGTTAGACGGTCAAATTGATAAGATTTGATCCAAGCACGCAATATACAACACAGAATACGATTAAGGCTTTATAGTTTTAGGGTTCGAACGCTTAAATCGACTGGTACGGTATATAAAGCGACGGTGGACCAAGAAGAGGGTCACATTTGTCATCGGAAAATCAGGAAAACTCCTCTCACCCACCTCGCTAGTTTAGTATCGCATTCTTCACTTTTGAAGAAGAACTGCAGAGTACCAACAAGAAATAGCGTAGCAAAAAAAGAAATATTCTAATTTCAATAAAACGACAGACCGTTGGTAGCGTGTCATCACACGCCCAGTCATTGTTCTTGGTTAACTGAAACAGAGGGCAAGCGACGCACTGCAATGCTTCAGTTCTTCTTTCTCTAGAATACGTTTAAAGCTTCAATTCTTCTTTCTCTAGAAAGTTTCAAGGCACGAACCCAAACCAGCACAGACAACGCGAAGGCAACGCAACAGGAAGTGCGCGGCAATGTGCCAATACTGCAGTGATATACTGAAGTAAAAGATTGAACTGATAGACTGAAGTGATGGACTGGAAGGGATATATTGAAATGATGTAGGGAAGTGATAAACTGAAGTCATATTCTGAAGTCATATACTGAAGTGATCTATTGAAGTGACTGAAGTGATAGACGTAGGTGATGGACTGGAAATGATATACTGAAGTGATATACTGCAGTAGTATACTGAAGTGATATACTGAAGTGATATACTGAGGTGATATACTGAAGTGATATACTGCAGTGGTATACTGAAGTGATAAACTGAAGTGATATACTGCAGTGGTATACTGAAGTGACATACTGAAGTGATATACTGCAGTGGCATACCGAAGTATATACTGAAGTGATGTACTGCAGAGGTATACTGAAGTGTTATACTGAAGTAATATACTCAATTGGTATACTGAAATGATATATTGAAGTGATATACTGAAGTTCGGTCAACAACAATGTCCAGATATTCATTTGATGTATTAGTGCACACAAAGATAGCACCTTTGATGCATGCATTAGCCTAGTCGCTACATATTATTTAACTAGGTCAACAATCCACAGTCGGTTACAAGTAGTACAGAAAAGGGTTTAGAAAGACGTGACAACGCAATCACCTGGGGCCAATCAAATACAGTGGCATTTCGCAAGTGCTGCTGAAATGGCTCACACACTACGCCGACACCTTGTGGCGAATACACCTCGACGATACCATGTGCATCGTCTGTTGTGGTTTGTGGGCGTAACTAATAAGCAGGTATCATACATGCCTTTCTGTTGTACTTGTGAGCTCTCAGAATTTCATATGAAGAATAAGGCGCACATTTTGGTAGCTATCAGTAGTGCCACCAATCGGTCACCATCGATCTATAATTAAATCTGCCACCTCAATAAAAAATCTTTCTTTTCTGAGAGTCCATTGCGCTTCGTTTAACCTGAAAAAGAGCAGCGCAAAGTTTTGTGCCTCTGTTTCAAATTTAAGAATAAACGTTCATATGCAACACATCTCACCGAATACTCAGCACCAGCCTTTTTGGTATTGAATCATTTCTGAATCTGATGTTGTTTGTATGTGTTCCGACATCGTTCTTAAACAATGCCACCTGAATGTCAGTAGTTCCGCTACCCATCTGCCAGAAGTCAAAGCGTTGATGCCGCTGCATGCTCAGACACTGTGAGTGTCATGGTGACATGCACATGTGCAGTTCATCGGTGAGCATACGATGAGAATGCGCTGTAAGATTTGTATTGAGTGTATTACGATTCAAAAAGCAAATGAAATATAACGACGAGCACGATTCTGCAGTGCGCGTTTGGGATAAAGTAGTACGTATTGCAGATTCACTCAGACGCATAGGTTGTAAGTTGATCATCACACTGAAAGATATCACTCAGACGCCTAGGTTGTAT